TACTGACTCCTGAAATCTGCTTCTTGTGGAATCTGTCCCCCCCATGTGAGTTTCACACTCCCTAAAATTAAACGAGGCCAGATTCTGTATATTTGTAGGAAACATTCAGATTGAGTTATATGTTTATAGTCAGCAATTCGTTAAGGTAAAACTGTGGGCTACAAGTCTTACATTGTTCTGACAAACGGGAGAGCTGGTATCTAGTTAGGATTCTGATGCTGACTCTGTATAACCTTTAGTAAGTCACTTAACCAGTCTGAGTCTGAGATTTTATTTGATCTCTTGTATTACAATCTTGAAGCTCTATGATTGTATTCTATTGAGCACAGTCACAAAATAATTTAAGAGGCTATTACTGGACCCTTAAAAAGCAGAAAAAAGTTTTATAGATAATGAATATAAAATAAGATAAGCATAAAGCCCTAAAAATATAAAAGAAAACTTCAGAAGGCACCATTTCAGCCCTGCACAAGCACATATCCAAAGCCTTCCAGAATTCTGTATGAATAAATGTAAAATAAGGGATTTGGTCTTACTTTGATGATTATAATACCAGGGGCAGTGGACCAGACTGAGTCAGTATCTGGAGAAATTGATGAATTTTACATGGTCTTATCTGACAGATGTAATGTTATTAATATCAGTGAAGACATAAGATAAATTGAGGAATACAGAAAATAATTTTATCATTGTGTAATCATATTTTGGTTGATTAAATTGCAAATATACTTAATTTTTATATGTAACCATGCAAGTTTAACCTGTTACTACAAATACCAAGGCAGTACTGGTGATGAGCTGAGAAGATGCAAAACACTGGCTTTTCATGCCTGACATTCCTTTCCTTAGAACATTTGAACCATCAGGAAAAGTAAAGAACTAGCTATAGAAGGGTAATATATACCCCTGGCTGAGATTTCAAAGTGGAAACTAAGTTTTCTAATTTCCCTTCTACCTTTATGGTGTTATAAAAGGTTGAGATAGAAGCCAAGAGGTTAACCATTTAAGCATTTTCAGAATCTATATTCTTAAAATGGAAGGCATTTTTCTTAGATATGCCTGTGGAAACACATCTCTGAGAGTTTTTTGATATTCTGAAAGGAGAAAAATACAGAGAAAAATCTCTCATGAATTTAGAAGCACAAATTTAGAGGCAAAAATCCTCAATAATATACTAACAAATTGAACCAATATATAAAAAGAATTATACTTCAGAGACAAGTGAGGTTTATTTCAGGAATGCAATGTTATTTGAAACTTAATAAATATAATCTACCATAGCAACAAAGAAAAATCACATGATCATATCAATCAAAATGCAGAAAAATATTTGATAAAACTCAAAACCCATTCATGATTAAAAAATCTTAGGAAATTTAAAATAAGCTCTTTGTAAATTAAAAATAGAAGGGGATTTCCTCAGGTTGACAAAGAAAATCTACCAAAATAGAAATCTATAGCTAACATTGTACTTAAAGATAAAAGACAATGTTTTCCCCCTAAGCCTAAGATTGGAAACAAACCAAAGATGTCCATTCTCACCACTTACATTCAATCTAGTATAGAAAGATCTAGCCATTGCAATAGGGCAAGAAAAGGAAACAAAGGAATGCAGATTGGAGAAAAAGAAATAGAACTATCCTATTTTCAGATGACATCATTGTCTATGTAGAAAACACCAAGGAGCCTACCAATAAGCTGTCAGAAACTAACAAGTTTGGCAAAGACACAAGATGCAGGATCAACACACACAAATTAATTGTATCCTATATACTAGCAACAAAAACATGGAAACCAGAATTAAAATGGAATATTATTTATAGTTGGGTAAACAAAAGAAATCTAACAAAACACATACAGCATCTGTATACTGAAGATTACAAAACATCAAGAAAAGAAAGTAAAGAAGATCTAAGTGAATAGACAGATATATCATATTCATGGATTAGAAGACTCACTATAGTAAAGATGTTAGCTTTTCCCCAACTTGATCTATAGCTTTAATGCAATTCCTATCATAGGCCTAGCAAGGTTTTGGTTTGTTTGTTTTTTTGTTTTTTTTTTTTTTGCAGATATAGAGAAACAAATTCTAAAATTTATATGGAAAGGCAAAGGAACTAGAATAGTTAAAGGAATTTTTACAAAGAATAAAGTAAGGAATCTGAGATCACAACTTAATATATATCTACAGCAAGCAAGACAATGTGTTATTAAAGAAGAAAGAGACATACAGATCAATGTAACAGAACACAGAACTGAAAAATAGATTAACACAGATACGTCCAGATGATTTTTTATAAAGGTGCAAAAACAGCTCAATGGAGGAAAGATAGTTGTTTTCAACAAATTGTGCTAGAACAATTGGACATCCACAGGCAAAAAAAAAAACCCAAAAAAACCTTTGATCTAATCCTCACACTGCATACAAAAATTAATTCAAAATGGATCATGAATTTAAATGTAAAATGAGGAACTATAGAAGAAAACATAGGAAAACATATTTGGGATCTAATTCTAGGTGATGACCTACTGCTTAAAGATGACTCCAAAACCATGTCCCATCTAAGGAAAGTCATAAATTGGGCCTCTTCCAAATTAAAAACTTTTATGCTACAAATAATACCCTAGTGTGAGGATGAAAAGACAAACTACAGATGGGGAGAAAATAATTGCAAACCATATATCTAAAAAAGGCCTTATATCTAGAGTTTATAAGTAACTCTCAAAATGCAACAGTTTTCTTTTTTTACAAATAACTCAATTTAAAATGGGTAAAAAACCACAAAAAGATATTTCTACAAAGAGAAGATACAGATGGTGAGAAACATGTGAAAATGTTCAAAGTCATTGGCCATTAGGGATATGGACATTAAAACCACAATGAGATATCACTACATACCTTTTAAAAAGCTAAAATAAAAGTCAGTGATAGTGCCAAATGCTGGCAAAGAAATGAAGAAATGAGCTCTAATATACTACTGGTGGGAATGTCAAATGGTACAGCCACTCTAAAAAATAGTTTGTTTCCTACAAAACTAAACATGCATTTATAGGACTCAGCAATCACACTGTTGGGCATGATCTCTGAGGAATGAAAATGTATGTTCACCAAAACACTTGCACATGAATACTCATAGTGGCTTTGTTCACAATAGCAAAATATTAGAAACAACCCAAATGCCTTTCAATAGGTGAGTGGTTGAGAAAACTCCGGTACATACATACAACGCAATACTGCTCAGAAATAAAAATGAATGAACTAATGATATATGCAACAAGCTGGTTGGACCTCAAGGGCATTGCACTTAATAAAAAATGTCTCAAGGTGCCTGGGTGGCTCAGTTGGTTAAGCGATGGCCTCTTAATTTTGGCTCAGGTCATGATCTCAGGGTCCTAGGATACAGCCCCGCGTTGGGCTCCCTGCTCAGCGGGAAGTCTGCTGGAGATTCTTTCCCTCTCCTCCCTCTACCCCTCCCCCTGCTCGTGCACTCTAAATAAATAAATAAATAAATAAATAAATAAATAAATAAATAAATAAAATCTTTTAAATATGGTTCCACTTACACAGCATCCTTGAAATGACAAAGCTATAGAAATGACAAACAGATTAGTGGTTTCCAAGGGACAGAACAAGAGTAGGGTAGTGAGTAGGTATGAATTCAGAGGTAGTATGAGGGAGTTTTTTGATGGAATAATTCTATATCTTGATTGTAGTGATGGTTATTAAATCTATACATAGATTTATTAAAATCTATACATAGAATAAAATTATATGGAAATATACATATACATAAAATGTAGGTTAAAAATGGTGAAAACTAAAAAAGGTCTGTATTCTTTTTTTTTGGTATATTTTATTTACATTTTATATTTAAAGAGAATCAATACAAATCGGGAAATATTTACAGCATTTCAAATCAAATGGGTTGTCAACATGTTCAAATCAGTGTACAAGAATGCAATGGTTTTGTCCATTCTACATTTAGCAAACAAAAATACATGTCTGTTCAGCTTTTGCCTAAATTCTGTTGGAATTTGCACTGGAAACACAACTTTAAAACCAAGATAAGCCACACAGAATACAAATAAAGTGCAGTTTTAAGTAGCTCTATTTTACTTTGGTGGATGAAAGCTTCAAACTTTATATTAAGGCACCTGGAATTCTCCCCCCCCCCCCATTCTTTTTCAAACACCAAGAAAATGTGTTCACAAAATTTATAGCTATATGGACAGAATTTTTGTTTACCTAATGTAATTTTAGCCCATTTAGGTAAAATGTAAACTCAATTTTCAAAGTTGACATTGTTTGGAAAACATTTTCTACAGAATGATTTCTGCAGACAAATTCATACACAAAGATCAATTACCAATTTTTGTGTGACTTACTCATTATCATTTTCAAATAGTATGATAATTTATATACTCTGCTTTTGAAAATCCCATAATTTTGAGGAATAGTTATACAGCATTTTTATAAAGAATCTTTTTGTCTATAATCTTATGTCAAATTGGTGTCATTAATATACCAATCAATCCAGTCCAGTCCATATTCTCTGATAAACTATGCTCAACACTCACATGAAGTACATTTAGCCTAATTTTTAAAAACAAGAAATTGTTAAAATGAATACTTTGCTTTAATCTTGTTCTATCAACTTAATGTAGCCTAAAGAGACATTTCATGAAGTACTAGCCTAAGTTTGCATTGCTTTTTACATTACAATTCCAGATCAATATAAGCACCTGGAGAAAAACCCTGACACGGATAGCCCAAGCTAAAATAGTAGTATTTTTAATTAAGATACTATCATAAAATAAAGTGATTACAGCTACTCCACATTTTAAAAGCAACATGTTTTTATAAGAAAATTGTTATAAATGAAAACCATGACTACTTGAAGAGAGTTTTAAATGTTTAAAAATGTTGCTATCACTATCGAGAGGACACTTGCCTATGAAAAACATTATGAGTTTGTGGAAAAAAGTTAATAGATTAAATATTTTAAGTAATTTAACTATAGCATTATAGTAGTCATCTCAGCACTTTCAGTATCATTCTTATTTAATTAAGTTTATCCAGTTCATTAATAGTAAACTAGCCCTGATTGGCAGTTCTGTTATTACTAAAGTTTCAAGTTTTCTATTGACACAGATTTTATGATTTAATTTCTCGAACAGCAGTCTCTTGATCAGGAGTTTCATCTTCTTCAAAGGTTGGGTTGTCAACATGAGGAACACCATCCACTGCCATGGAACTTGCCTCATGGTTTACCAGCTGGAGATTTTCATTTGCTGACTGCACATGTTCTTCTAAAGGTGGTTCATCTGCTCCCTGAACAGAAGCATAGCCAGACGATGCAGTCTCACTGCGATTATCCTCTTCATGAGGAGAGGCACTATTTGATGTTTCATTGGAAACAGGGACTTGTAAAGACACTGATCCATCTTCAACATCCACCTCAATTCCCAAAGCTTTGAGTATGTCACATTTGCACATGGGGCAAGTCCTGTGTTCTAACAGCCATGGGTCAACCCATGTCTTATGGAAAATATGGTTGCAGGTTAAGATGCGCACCAAATCATTTGGTTTATACAGTTCAATACACACAGCACAACTATCTCCATCAGGGCCAATTTCCTTGTCTCCTTGTTTCAGTGTACGTAGTTGAAGCCTCCCAATAGCTTTTTTAGCAGCTGCCTTTAATTGTCTCTGTTTCCTGCTTTGAGCTCTTGCATTCCGTAATCTTCGAGCAGAATAAAAGATAAAATAGCCCACAGTTGCTGCCGTAATAATAAAAAAGGACACAGGAACGAAGAAAATTGAATAGTGATTCACCCAAGGGCCATGTTTTTCCCTACTTCGATGACCATTGTTACTTGTATGCCTCTTTGAATAGATGGTAGAATTTTTGTGCCTTTCAGATTGCCAATCATGATTGCAACAATGTCTCCTGCACCCGGGTGAGACATGGGGATGACCTCATTGCGGGTCCCCGGGAAGTTAAAGATGACGGCTCCAGACGCCCCTCTCTCGTAAGCCAGATGGACCTTGTCGGCGAAGGTGCAGCCCCCGCCGCGCTGGATGAGGGCCAACCAAGAGACCTGCACGGTGCTTCCCCAGTCCCCTGGGACCGTGGGCACCGTGAAATTCGTGTGCGGGTACAGGCGTTGAGCGCCCCCGGCCCGTCGGGCGGCACCGGGATCCCAGCCACAGGCTCGAGCGGCGAATCCTGGCCGTACACGCCCTCCTCGCTCAGCTCCCACACTGTGCGGTTCACTCCGGTGTGCGGAACCCGCCAGGACACGTTGAGGTACGCGGTCCACACTGCCTCGGCTCCCCGGGAGCCGGGGGCATGGGGGCTCAGCGCCAGCAGGAAGCACCACGCCAGCAATCGGGAAAAGCCGCAGCCGCCGCGGCACAAGACCCCGGCCCCGGGCGGCGGCCCCATGGCGCGCGCGCTCTGCGGTTCCCGAGGACCCCTGGCCCGCACCCTCCCGGCTCTCGGCAGGACCCCGGCCGGGCCCAGGTGCGCGCCAGGTGGGGAGGGGCCGGCGCGCGCGGCGAGCGAGGTGGGAGCCGCGAGGCCCGTAGCGTCGGGCCGAGCGGTTGCGGCAGATGCAGCTCCTCGCAGCTCCCGTCCTCTGCTCAAAAAGGTCTGTATTCTTGTTGATAGTAATGTACCAATGTCAATTTCTGGGTTTGATATTGCATTATCTATAAGCTCTACAAGATGCCACCATTGGGGAAAGCCAGGTGAAGGATACAGGAGAACTTTTATAACTTTTTTTGCAATTTCCTAGGGGTCTATAATTATTTCAAAAGAAAATTTTTTTATATAGATGTAATCAAATGGACTGTTTTCGCACAAAGATGCAAAACTGCTATGTTGAGGGCCTTGGGTTATGTGCTCCCTAGAAAAATTGAAGAACAGGCTCAGATCCCGGGTGGTATTGGATGATCAAAAGATTCTCCATTATAATAAGCACTTCTGGCTTCTCTGCAAAATCACCAAGTCAATTTGGCAGAATAAGATGATGATTTAATATCAGGGCCTTCAGAACCATTTCTCAGTCTATCTTTCCAACCGCATCTCCATCCATCCACACAAAGAACATGACATATAGAGGTAGTGGACTACTTTTTTTTATTTCCCTTGGGCAGAATGCATATCATCATAGCTCTGAGTCTTTTTCCTGCTTCCTATTTCCAGGAAGACCCCTTCCCTCATTCTCCACTGATGAAACTCACCTATACCCCTCTAAGATGCCTTTCCTCATTATAAGATTCCACCCTAGCCAGGCAAAATTATTTGTTTCCTCTTTACCCGAAGAACTTATCACATTGTAATACAGAGTTTTTGATTGGTTTAAATCTGCCTCTGAGATAATAAGTTACTAGTGGAAGGAAACCGTATCTTACTTATCCCTTGGATAGTGTCTGGCATCATGCTCAATAGATTTTTTGATGACATTAATTTAATGTAGTTAAAATGGATATTGAGGAATTGTTGACTTTACCAGCTAGCACATGAGTATTCTATGTGAATAAAAAGATTTAGAGATAATAAGGCTGGAAAAATGGATCCCTTCCCTCCGTACAGATAAGCCAAAAGTTAATAGAAGTCAAAGACCCATTAATGGTCTGGATTAGACAAGACTTGGCACAAAAACAAAAAAGGAAGAAGACCTTTGGAAAGAGAAAAATGAAGGTTAGTCTCATTCAATTTAAAGGGTTCACAATGTAGAAGGAAAATGGAATCCCTAAGACACTAGGACACTTGATATTATTTTCTCACTTGAAAAACATCATCAATTCACTGTTGATTGTTGTTCTATAATAAACAGACCAGTTATGTGCCTCACTTGGACTCTGAGGCTCCCAGTTAGACCAGTTGATTACTGAAATCCTCAGGTGTGATTAGTGGTGTAAAGAGTTAGAGTACATGTTAAGGGAGAATACCAGAAGAGAAGATGGCGATAATGTTTTTAACTTATGTATCCCTAACTTTGAAATGTACACAGAATAAAGCCATTTCTCATGACCACCACTGCCACCATCCTGGTCCAACTTGTCATTGTGCCTCACCTGGACCATGGGAGCAGCTTTCAACTTGGAAGAACTGTTTACTCTGTTCTCAGCTCAGGAGCCAGAGCTGTTAAAATGCAGTCAATTCCTATCACTACTGTGCTCAAACCTTTCAAATGTGTCCAATGTCCCTCAGAGAAAAAGTAAAGATTTTCTATGATTTGTAACTTGACAAGACCTGTCTCATCCTGTTATTACTTGCTAACCTTATCTCCTAGGGCTCCCCTTCTTACTGGTCCCTTGCTACACCTCAAACATTCCAAGCGCACTCCTTTCTTAGGGCCTTTGTCCTTCCCTCCTCCCCCTACAGCTCTTCCACTAACCCCTGACTTCTTGCGTTTACTCAATGATCATCCTCACTCTAAAATTCCAATTCACTATGCTGCCACTTGACACTGATTTATGTTTTCTCCCTAGCATCTATCCCTATCTAATATAGCAGATTTCTTATTCATTTACCTTGTTTTCTACTCCAAGATACCACATCATTATGTTCTTCAAAATAAGAACTGTTACTTCAGTGGGTGCCAGACACTGGGATGAGGCCTTTTTGTGTGTTACCTCATTAGATTTCCACAATTTCCCTGTGAGTAAAGCAATACTACTCCTATTTTTCAAATTAGGAAATAGGCTTACATCAATGGCCTTCCTAGTGTATTTGAAATCTGCAGTGGATCCTTTTTTTTTTCTACTCCCATCTTCCATATGACCAAATTGATTTCAGTAAAAGTCATAGAATAATTAATATTTATCATTATTTTCTTGATTCATTCTTTAGTTGTAAAACAAAAAACCATTAAAAAAGAAAAAAATTTCTTCTAGAGGGGAGGGGGATGAGAGGATGGGTTAGCCTGGTGATTGGTATTAAAGAGGGCATGTATTGCACAGAGCACTGGGTGTTATACACAAACAATGAATCATGGAACACTACATCAAAAACTAAAGATGTAATGTATGGTGATTAACATAACAATAAAAAAATTTTTTAAAAAAGAAGAAATTTCAATTCAAAAAACCAAGTGAAATAACTCAAGTTCTTTGTGTGTGTGTGTGTGTGTGTGTGTGTCTTTAAGATCACTTTACCTTCATTGTTTATTTCAAATCTACTGTTTAAACACAGGAATGTGGAGTACCTCAGGGACTGGAGATGTGAGGAGCACATAAAGCGAGCTCGACTAATTCTGACTGACCCTTTACTTAGTCTCTCTCTAGTCTGTACAAATGCATGTAGCTGAGTGTCTGTGTGTTAGAATAGCTAAGGGTTTTCAAATTTACCACCTTAATGCTCATGTTCAATGTTTGTTAAAGGATCAATAAGAAAAATGTGCTTACATAACACAAATATAGACACAAAGAGTCGTGGAAGCTGGAAACAAAAAGCTCTCAGACTTCAAAGAGAGAGAGGAAAAAATATCCTCATGAATGAATGTCATGACAGATAAGGAGTTTGAGATAAGTCTTTGAATATAAATAAGTCTGAGAGTTGACAATTCCGGGAGGGCTTTTCTAGTGTAAGGTAGCATAGAGGCAAAGGCAAAGAGGCAGGGAAGCTCAGCATGTTTTAAGCCTAATGGGGAGCAGTCTGGTTTTACTGATACCTTGGGTGGGGAGGAGAGGAGTGGAATAAGTGGAATAAGAGAAATAAGTCATGCAAGATGTTAATTAGAAGTTTTGCAGATTAAACCCAACCCTCTCATTTATACCTGGGCAAGCTATTCTGCAGGTTGCTCACACTTCTTCAACCTACTCCCTTCCCCATACAGGACAGTCTGTCATCCCTGAACAGAGCCAATCAAAGGTTTTTTGATATAGGACTATCAGAGGCTCGGAGAGAGGTATCTGCAAATAACTACCATCCTAACTCAATTTACAACACTGCCAAAGGAGTGTGCCTTCCCTGCCATTTTCTGGTGGAGCAGAAATAGCAGGAGCAAGGCAATAATTAGCTAGCACCACTGATTTGTGTATGTGATCAGGGACTGAGTCAACAGGGAAGTAAAATAGGCTTATGTTATCCCAGGATTTTCCAACACTCAGGTTTATATATTTATACAATAGCACCCCTTCTTATTTCTTTGCTTCCCCCTTTGGATTCCATCCATTTTTCCATTCATTATCTACTAGTCCTGCCCCGGATATAACCTGGGCCACTCCCTGAAAAGTCATACAGTGCTGCTACCTCCAGAGCTCAAACCAGGCTTGACCATACTGGCTACCTGCTTTATCACCCATACTCTCCTTCCTTATGCTTCATAACGCAGGTCTGTTTTTTTTTTCACATGTGCCCAAGCTTTATTATGCTTCCATGATGCATATTGTGTAAAGAAATAGACATTTGCTTTCCATTCTACCCTGTAGTTGGTGTGAAATTGACCTATATCTTCACTGTCATTACACTTTGCCATTTGAGGGAAGACTGGTCTGTACCAGAAACCAAAGCAAACATTACTTGTTTCTGAAATACTATTTGATTTTTGAACATATGAATATATTTTGTGGTCAGTTTTCTCCCCTATCATTTACTCCCCAACACAGTAACAAATAATTTTGTCAGTTAGATACAGGCTTATGATACAACTTTTTAAAAGTAGAGACCATTGCTATTTGGGCTCTGAGCTAGGCTGTACATGGCACTATTTCATTTCTACCAGAAATCAAAAACAATGCTACTTCTCAGGGCAGCTCTGCCATGTATATCCCAGCAGCCAGAGAAGGATGAGAGCTCAACAAACGAGCAGAAAAAAAGTTTTTTATTTTTTATTAGAGTGGAAATAATCTCTCTTACAAATGTATGCTTGACTTAAATACTTCATGTCAGAATGTGAAAAAATTAAGGGCTTGAAAACATCAAGGATATTTTGAGACTTCAATATGAAGTTATTGGAAAAAAACAAAAGTGTTAATCATGGAATTTGGATATCTAGTCTCATATCCACAGGACCAATGCATGAATTAACATTAACATTGTTTCTGTTGTTTTTCTGGATGTCTGGGGGCTATTTCATTATGCATTCTAAAATCTTTTGGTATTAGTTTGAAATGCTACAACACATTTCATAGGCAAATATGACTAATAATTAGATTACTTAAAATGACAAAAGATTGGCAAAAAAATAAATGTCTAACAGGATGAGATCAGGAAATTATGACATATCTACCTACTCACTCAACCAAACTCTACTCAGATATTCAAAATAAATGAGTTAGCTGAACTTTCCCTAGCCATGTTTTACTCTTTCATTTATTCAAGAAAATTTACTGAATAATCCATTTTGTGCCAAAAATCTCTGCTAAGAATCAGTGGTAAGCAAAATATATCCGGTTCCTGTTCTTATGCAACTTTCCTCTTAATTGACCAATAAATCATATAATCCAAATATATCAGTATCA